GAGACCAACCCCCCCCGGCTACACCCTCCTTTCAGGGAGCTTAGAGAGAGCAATTTTTTTATATTCTTTTTTAATGTCAATTCCGTGCTTCTCCACTCTCAGCTCTTCAAGTGCAAGAGTCTCCAAATAACCAGCAATTCTTCTCTGCCCCCACTCTGCTCTCTCACCTCCAATCTCCTGCCCCCTGTCAAACTTTTGCTGCTCTAAAACTACCACAAAAGTAATGTCCTCCCTGCCCCTCTCTCAGGAGGGAGCAGAACGTCATCCTGACCTTGCAGGCCTCACCTGGAGCAGAATGCAGACATGGACAGTGGCTCCACAGGAGGGCTTTGGGCCAAGGCAGGCAGTGATTTTTGCCTCCTGGCCACAGGGAGAAGCGTATGGGGTCTCACCACCTCCACTTCAGCAGGACAAAAGAGCACTGGGTGGCTAGAGAAGACCCTGGCTATGGAGCTCCTGAGGCCAAAGGGAGGGGTCTCAGGATGTCACTTTGCTCAGGATCTCACTCAGACCCCACCAGGGGGTCATCATGGTACCACCATGAACCCTGTTACTTCCCCCATTCTCCCTGCTCCAGGGGACACAGTCAGGAAAGTCATGGATCTGTTGGAGGGGGGCCGGAGGAGGCCATGGAGATGCTGGGAGGGCTGGAGCCCCTCTGCTGGGAGGGGGGGCTGAGAGAGTTGGGGGGTTCAGCCTGGAGAAGAGAAGGCTCCGGGGAGACCTTGGAGCCCCTTCCAGTCCCTCAAAGTGGGGGGGGCTCCAGGAAAGCTGGGGAGGGACAAGGGGGAAGGGTTTTAAGCTGAAAAAGGGGAGATTTAGGTGAGATATCAGGAGGAAATTCTTCACCCTTAGGGTGGTGAGAGCCTGGCCCAGGTTGCCCCAAGAAGCTACATGTGGCTACAGAAACTCTACTGACTGGCAATGACACCTAGCTTTCTAGGTAAATATGCTGCTGACTTTAGATTCAGTTGATCTGCCTAATCTGTTCCCATACACAGGACAGTAATCACAGAATACTCCACATTACCCCTGGCTGGAATACACATTTAAAGAATATTCTAGGTGTTCTTTAGTCATTGTTTAATTCTTTGCTACTAATGATCAATTGTAGTTCTTTCAGGAGGTAGGAATTGGGGCTTTTTGTTCACTTCTGGTTTTGTTCTTGAGATCTCTGAAAAGCTCAGTCCATGTGTTAATGTTTTTTTCCCTTTCTGTTTCATAATGCCACAAATTCATTGGAATGGGCTGCCCAGGGAAGTGGTTGAGGCACCATCCTTGGAGATATTCAGAAGATGAGTTGACATAGTGCTTGGGAATATGGTTTAGTGTTGTTTTTTTTTTGTTTTGTTTTGTTGTTTTTTTTAATTGTGGTTGGACTAGATGATCTTAAGGGTCCCTTCCAACCTAGGTAATTCTATGATTCTATTCTATGATTCTAAGCTGTGGCTGCCCCATCCCTGGAGGGGTTGAAGGGCAGGTTGGAGGGGGCTTGGAGCAACCTGCTCTGGTGGGAGGTGTCCCTGGATGGCACTGGGGGGGCTTTAAGGTCCCTTCCCTCCCAAACCATTCTATCTAAGTCACCACCAGTCTGGGTCTGCAACAGTTAAAAATACACCCCCTCTGCTTTTTCTTTTCCCTCTCCGTAGCTGAGAGCTATTTCCTGTTGAGCAGCAGCCCCTTGCTGTCAAGTGGGGAGATGCTGGAGAGGGCAACTTCAGCGTGGCTTTAGCCCAGCCACAGCAGAGGGGACAGAAACCCGGGGCAGAAAAGGAACGGGGCAAACCTGACCCCCCCCTCAAGCAACGACAGAGCGTTTCCCTGGCGAGGGAGAGCAGCTCAAGGGAACAGCAACAGGAAAATCTGGTTGGTCTTTAAGGAATTGACAGTGTTTGTTGAGACAGAGACAGCCCAAAGGCCAGGCAAGCAGTGGTTAAGGATGAATTGCTGATGGGAGAGAGAGAGTGGCCTCTAAAGGAGCATCAAGTGGGGTTGTTCAATCTGGGGAAGAGGAGACTGAGGGGAGACCTTCTCGCTCTGTACAAGTACCTGGAAGGAAGCTGTAGAGAGACGGGGGTCGGTCTCTTCTCCCAAGTTACAGATGATAGGACAAGGGGCAACGGCTTCAAGTTGCACCAGGGGAAGTTCAGGTTGGATATTAGGAAACATTTCTTTACTGAAAGGGTTATCCAGCGTTGGAATGGGCTGCCCAGGGAGGGGGTGGAGTCACCATCCCTGGAGGTATTTAAGAAACGTGTAGACATGGTCCTTCAGGGCATACTCTGGTGCCCAAGATTACTGGTTTGTGGTGGGGTGCTGTGTGGGTGGGTGATGGTTTTTGGTTTGGTGGTTGTTGTTGTGTGTTTAGGTGGTGGTTTGTGTTTTTTGTGTGTTTTTGGTTTTGGTTCTTTTTTTTTTTTTGTGTGTTGGTTGGACTCGATGATCTCTGAGGTCCCTTCCAACCACTACGATTCCGTGATTCTGTGAATTAACAGTGTTTGTTGAGACAGAGACAGCCCAAAGGCCAGGCAAGCAGTGGTTAAGGATGAATTGCTGATGGGAGAGAGACAGTGGCCCCTAAAGGAGCATCAGCATTCAGCACGACCCTCATCCTCCTCTCCAGCGGCTCTAACCGCCTCCTCTCTGTCTGGAAGGAAGCACAAACCCTCTTCTCTCTCATTTCAACAGCCCTTGAGTTCAGGAGTGTCTCCAGGAGAGGTGGCAGCAAGAGCAAACCACAGGAACGAGGAGACTCTGGACAGTGGGGTCCCCCAGGAGCTGCTCTTCTCTACAAGGGGATACACAAATGGTGTGTTCTCCACTCACACCCAGCCCCAAAAACTCTCTGTGATGCTTCAGAAGCAAGGGTTTGGTTGAGTGGGCTCCTCAGCTCCATAAGGACAGGGAATTGCTGGAGAGGGTCCAGCAGAGGCTGTGAGGATGATGAGGGGCTGGAGCATCTCTCTGCTGAGGAAAGGCTGAGGGACCTGGGGCTGTTCAGCTGGAGAAGAGCAGACTGAGAGGGGACCTCATGGATGCTGAGCAAGAGCTAAAGGGTGGGGGGCAAGAGGATGGGGCCAGACTCTTCCCAGTGGTGCCCAGGGATGGGACAAGGGGCAATGGGCACAAACTGGGATGGAGAAAATATGGAAAACTTCCCTGTGAGGGTGGCAGAGCCCTGGAAGAGGTTGCCCAAGAAGGTGGTGGTCTCCTTCTCTGGAGACATTCAACTCCCCCGGACATGTTCTTGTGCAGCCTGCTCTGGGTGACCCTGCTCTGGCAGAGGGTTGGACTGGGGGTTCTCCAGAGGTCCCTGCCCACCCCTGCCAGGCTGGAATTCTGTGAGCCACCACTCACTGCTGACCTGGCCACAGAAGACTTAACAGCAGGAGATCCAACTGGTCCCACAGCGGCCACAGCCTCGGCAGCTGCTCTGCGCTCTTCCTGCTAGAACAAGCAAGAGCAGCCACAAACACCTTCAGAACTTCACTAAACCCACCCAACATGGTCCAACCAGCAGCTCCTCAGCAGAGTTCTGCCTCCAGCCCACACCTTTCCACATTGTTGAGAGCCCAACACAGAATCACAGAATCTTCTAGGTTGGAAGGGACCTTCAAGATCATCTTGTCCAACCGTCAACCTGACTGACAAAAATAGACCCCCACACAACAAACAAGGAGCATCATCACTAAACCAGACCTCCCAGCACTACATCAACCCGGCTTTTGAACACCTCCAGGGATGGTGCCTCAACCACCTCCCTGGGCAGCCCATTCCAATGGCTGATGACCCTTTCAGTGAAAAAATGTTTCTTAATATCCAGCCTGAACCTCCCCTGGGGCAACTTGAGGCCTTTTCCTCTTGTCACATTCCAGTTGTAACTGAACTCTCTCTGCCCCATCCAATAGATGAGGTTCTACCAGGGGGATCCTGCTTCCCCACTGCCCTGCTCCAGCCCTTGCAGCTTCTGTCCCACACTCACTCAGAAGGGGGTTTTGTGGTCAAAAAGGCCCTGTGTCCCCTCAGAATCTTTTTAGTGACGTTTTCTGGGAGGCAGAGCAGCCAGGAACGGTGACGAGACAAAGAAGTCTCCCTTTGGAAGCAGAGAGAGCTGATTCCCAAGGCATTTCCCATGGTGCCTTATAGGAGAAACCAGAGGCAGAAGAAGTAGGGTGAGGGCTGGAGTAAAAAATGAGATGCAAGTTCAAATGTTGCCTCCAGCAGTCCCAGATTTGCCCTGAGAACTCAGCAAACCCCTTCACATGGCACTGAAACACAGACCTGGCATTATTTCATGGAAACACAGAATGGTTTGGGTGGGAAGGGACCTTAAAGACCCCCCAGTCCCATCCAGGGACACCTCCCCCCAGAGCAGGTTGCTCCAAGGCCCCTCCAACCTGCCCTTGAACCCCTCCAGGGATGGGGCAGCCACAGCTTCTCTGGCCAACCTGGGCCAGGCTCTCACCCCCCTCCCACCAAACAAGTTCTTCCCCACAGCTCAGCTCCATCTCCCCTCTTTCAGGGTCAAACCCTTCCCCCTCCTCCTAGGGCTCCCCTCCCTCATCCAGAGTCCCTCCCCAGCTTTCCTGGAGCCCCCCAACCTTTAGGGACTGGAAGGGGCTCCAAGGTCTCCCTGGAGCCTTCTCTTCTCCAGGCTGAACCCCCCCAACTCTCTCAGCCCCCCCTCCCAGCAGAGGGGCTCCAGCCCTCCCAGCATCTGGCCCCATCCAACAGGTCCACGTCTCTCCTGTGCTGAGGCCCCAGAGCTGGAGGCAGGACTCAAAGAGGGGTAAATCAGCCCCTTCCTCTTATTTACCTTAAGCCCAAATCTTCAAAACAACACAGAGAAATGGGCACCCAACCAAATTTCATCCCAAATGCACCAGCAAACACAGGGTTCTGCTTCCCTGCCTCATCTCACACAAGAGCCTTCAGCCCCTTCTCAGGAGGAACCGTGCGCAGGAGGCACAAGATTCACAAATGAGGTCTCAGCCCCCAGCTGCCACAATTCACTTTTTAATCAAAAAAAAGCCTTCCCGAGCTACCGCTTGCTCATTCTTTTGACATTCCACATTTTATTGAGTCCGGCTGGATGAAAGGGTTAGTTGTATGGTACATGAATTCAATAAATATTTAAGAACTGGATGATGAAGCCCCATCGCGTTCGAGCAGGGAGTTAAGCACATGGATAAGTAAAAATGTACGTTTTTTTTAAAGATGACATTAACTAGCTGGGGTGGATAAATGCAACTCGAAAAAAAAAAAAAATAGAGATGGTGTGTGCACTTCAGAGGGCTTTCTGGCCAAGGACAGCTCGGAAGCCCATGGCCAGCAAACTGACTGATAAATTAGAGTGGGTTTTTAATAGAGAAAAAAAAATGCACCGCAGCAGTTCTGCCATTTCCTGGTCAGAACCAGAAAGGGAACATTTTCCAAGTGCAGTGTTTGCCCTGTGAGGCTGGGAGGAGATGAACTCTTCAGGTAGCAACACACCTACCACCAGCCTGCACCTTCCAAAAGCTTTTTAGACAGGGAAGAGGGACCAAGGAGAGGAAGCAACAGTGGGAGAAGGTCTCACCACCAGATGTGCACACTCCAGCTTTTTAAGTTTAACAGAAATTATTCCTTTGCCCTGAGAGACAGCACAGCAAGAGCAGAGCACACCCAGCCTGGGGATGTTTCCCTGCTGTCTCATCACAGCAAAGGAGAAGGTATCAGTCAGATTTGCCTTTTTCTCTGAAGACACAAGTAACAGTCTTTAGCAAATGAAAAGAACTGCCTGAAATCTCCCCTGGCCAGATGTTTAAGGTAAGTGGTGTTAGCACTTTCCCTGTCTGTTCAGGAGAAGTCCTGCCCGTGGGGTTCAATCTAAGACCATGCAAGAGCACTTGAGTTTTGGGGAAGCCCAGCTACTAAAGCAATATACAACCCTCTCCTGCACCCTAACTCATACCTGTGCACCAACCCCCAGCCGGGTGGGGAAGCTACAACACACTACTGTCATCACCCCCCCTGCCCCAGCCCCAGCAAAGCCTCTGCATCCTGAAGTTACACCAGTTATAACTTTATATAAGGGTTATACTCGTTATAGCAGGACTCCAGCAGGGTGGAAGGGCTTTGCTGGCACCGCAGAGCAGGTCCGTTAGGAGCCGCACATCAGACACTCATCTCGGTTCTCCAGGGAGCACACCATGGCTGCTTTGTTCCTCTCCTTCTCTTCCTCTTCTTTGGAGGCCTTCTCCCGCTCCCGGAGCTTCTCCTTGTTGAGGGTGAACTGGATGGGGTTGGCCGCTGGTTTTGTCCGTAGATAATACATCCCGGTCTTCAGGCCCTGAGGAGAGAAAGGAGGAGTTGAAGAGCTGGAATCAGCTGGAGATGGGGCAAGAAATAGAGCTGGACTCTGAACTGCTGTGGCCAACCTCTCCTATCACCACACCAGCCTCACTGCCATGGCTGGTAATCCTCAGCTGGTGTCACATTCGCTGGTGACACAAAGCTGGGAGGAGCAGGTGACCCACCAGGAGGCTGGGCCACCATCCAGCAAGACCTGGGCAGGCTGGGGAGTTCAGGTTCAAGGCCAGGCTGGATGGGGCCTTGAGCAACCTGCTCTAGTGGGAGGTGTCCCTGCCCATGGCAGTGGGGTTGGAACTCGATGATCTTTGAGGTCCCTTCCAACCCAAACCATTCTATGATTCTATGAACCTCATGATGTTCAACAAGGGCAAGTGCAAGGTCCTACACCTGGGGAGGAATAACCTCATGGACCAGGAGAAGTTGGGGGGTGACCTGCTGCAGAGCAGCTCTGTAGAGAGGGTCCTGGGAGTCCTGGTGGACAACAAGTTGCCCATGAGCCACCAACGTGCCCTTGGGGCCAAGGTGGCCAATGGTCTCCTGGGGGTCATCAAGAGCGTGGCCAGCAGGTGGAAGGAGGTCATCCTCCTCCTCTGCTCTGCCCTGCCCTGGGGAGGCCACAGCTGGAGCACTGGGACCAGTTCTGGGCTCCCCAGTTCCAGAAGGACAGGGAACTGCTGGAGAGAGTCCAGCAGAGGCTGCGAGGATGGTGAGGGACTGGAGCATCTCTCTGCTGAGGAAAGGCTCAGGGACCTGGGGCTGTTCAGCTGGAGAAGAGCAGACTGAGAGGGGACCTCATCAATGCTGAGCAAGAGCTAAAGTGCAGAGGATAAGAGGATGGGGCCAGACTCTTCTCAGTGGTGCTCAGGGACAAGACAAGAGGAAATGGGCACAAAGTGATAGTCCAGATTAACAGGAGCTACACTGTGAGCAGCTTTATGGCTCGTGAGAGATATTCCACCTCTAACACCAGATTCTTGGAAGGAATTTCACTGAATTTCACTGAATTTTAGAGTTGGAAGGGACCATAGAGATCATCTAGTCCAACTCCCCTGCTGAAGCAGGATTGCCCAGAGCTTGTCAGAGCATGTTACTCAGGAGCATCCAGGCGGGTCTTGAAAATCTCCAAGGAAGGGGACTCCACACCCTCCCTGGGCAGCCTGTCCCAGGGCTCTGTCACCCTCACCGTGAAGAAGTTTCTCCTCATATTTGAGTGGAACCTCTTCTGGTCCAACTAAAAGAGCCGTTTGAGCTTCTAAGAACCAACGAGACCAACTTTTCGTTAAAGAACTTCTCAGCCCCCATCTGCTGCCTGTTCCAGACCCCCCCAGTACCTGCTTCCAGCCGTAGAAGTGCATGCTGGTGAGTTTGCCGTAGTTGGGCTCCGCGATGTGGATGTTGAGAGACTGGCTCTGGTCGATGAAAGCGCCTCTGTCCGCTGCCATCTTGAGGACAGTCTTCTGGGAGATCTCCCACACCGTCTTGTAGAGCTGCTTCAAGTCATCGGGGATCTCAGGTATGTTCTAAGAGGAACAGGAAGAGTTGGCCGATGAGTTGTAACCGGTGACCGCCCCAAATGTTTGTATTTATAAATGTTCATATCTATAAAATCAAATTCTTCACCAGTTGCTGAGACCTCAGCAATCCTGACTGGAATGAAGGCTTTTTGCAGCTGAACTCTATCACTGATATCACAAAGATTCAGTAAATGGAAGCATCCATAGAATCATAGAGTTGCCCAGGCCGGAAGGGACCTCCAAAGGTCATCTAGTCCCACCCCCCCGCAGTCAGCAGGGACACCCGGAATGAAGGCTTTTTGCAGCTGAACTCCATCACTGATATCACAAAGATTCGGTAAATGGAAGCATCCATAGAATCATAGAATTGCCCACGCCAGAAGGGACCTCCAAAGGCCATCTAGTCCCACCCCCCCGCAGTCAGCAGGGACACCCCCAACTAGACCAGGTTGCCCAGGGCCTCGTCGAGCCTCTCCTTGAATATCTCCAGGGAAGGGGCCTCAACCACCTCCCTGGGCAACCTGTTCCAGTGCTCCACCACCCTCACAGTGAAGAACCCTCTCCTCATCTCCAGTCTAAATCTGTTCCCCTCCAGCTTGAAGCCATTGCCCCTCGTCCTGTCACTGCAGGCCTTTCTAAACAGGCTCTCCCCAGCCTTCCTGTAAGCCCCCTTCAGGTACTGGAAGGCTGCTATTAGGTCTCCCCGGAGCCTCCTCTTCTCCAGGCTGAACAACCCCAGCTCCCTCAGCCTGTCCTCGGAGCAGAGGTGCTCCATCCCCCTGATCATCCTCGTGGCCCTCCTCTGGACCCTCTCCATCAGGTCCATGTCCTTCTTCTATTGAGGGCTCCAGACCTGCACACAACACTCCAGGTGAGGTCTCACCAGAGCAGAGGAAAGTGGCAGAATCCCCTCTCTGGACCTGCTGGCAACGCAGCTTTTGATGCAGCCCAGGATGGGATTGACCTTCTGGGCTGCAAGTTCTCACTGCCTGCTCATGTCCAGCTTCTCCTCCACCAGCACCCCCAAGTCCCTTTCCTCAGGGCTGCTTTCCAATCCCTCACCCCCCAGTTTGTATTGGTGGCGAGGATTGTTCTGGCCCAGGTGCAGAACCTTGTATTTGCTCTTGTTGAACCTCATGAGGTTCACCTGGGCCCACCTCTCCAGCCTGTCCAGGTCCTTTTGGATGACATCCCGTCCCTCTGGTGAGTTATCCAAGCATAAAGAAAGCTCAGTTACTGAAACAGAACAGCTGCTTCTGGGGAATTTGAGAGGAAAAGCTCTCTCCTAAATTTTTTGGTTTTGTCTTCAATAGCTGGGAGGCCTTTCAAAAAAGCCACCCAGAGGATAGTGCCTCTTCACATACCATGACAAGTGGGATGCCCTTTGTCAGCGTGTGTGACCCCAAGCACAACACTCCCAGCAGCATTTCAAACTCCACAGCGTAAATGATTCATCCCACACAGACTCCTCTCCGTGTATCTCCTGGATCCGGGTGTCATCTACTCAGTTCCCATCATCAAATCTACTCCCCGCTAGGAAATTACCCCTTTACAATAAAAGGGGAATCCAAACATTTGCAGAATCTGCATAAAGCAGCACGGCCTGGGATTTGTTCTGGCAATAATGACGTGCAGTGTGACAATGTACGTTTCCTTTGGGCTTCTCTGTGCCACGGGCAGGTTCCAGCAGGAAAAAAATCACCCCTGAGATCAGCTGCATAAAGCAGCACGGCCTGGGATTTGTTCTGGCAATAATGACGTGCAGTGTGACAATGTACGTTTCCTTTGGGCTTCTCTGTGCCACGGGCAGGTTCCAGCAGGAAAAAAATCACCCCTGAGATCAGATATTTCCCCTTATTTCTAACTGAAACTGCCTGGCACAGCTCCTCTCCTCCCCAGGGCTGGCTGAGTCACACACACAGGGGTGTATCTCCTGGATCCGGGTGTCATACACTCAGTTCCCATCTCAAATCTACTCCCTGCCAGCAAATTACCCCTTTACAATAAAAGGGGAATCCAAACATTTGCAGAATCTGCATAAAGCAGCACGGCCTGGGATTTGTTCTGGCAATAATGACGTGCAGTGTGACAATGTACGTTTCCTTTGGGCTTCTCTGTGCCACGGGCAGGTTCCAGCAGGAAAAAAATCACCCCTGAGATCAGCTATGTCCCCTCATTTCGAACTGAAACACGGCCTGTCACAGCTCCTCTCCTCCCCAGGGCTGGCTGAGTCACACACACAGGGGACCTCAGAAGAACGTCCCCCAGGCAGCGCTTCCCAGACGAGCAGGAACCCCCCGTGATGTTCTCCCTGGTTCCTCACACGTACCTGGATGGAGCCGTTGTGGGCGATGATTTGGTTTTTCATCTCCTCGTTCCACAGGCCCCTCTCTGTCAGATCTTTCAGCAAGTGTGGATTCACAACCTGGGAGGAGCAAAGGCCAGAGAATCACCCAACTGTCGAGGTTGGGAGGGACCTTTCAGATCATGGAGTCCAACCATCAACCCAACACTGACAAACCCACCACTGACCCATGTCCCTCAACACCTCTCTGTGCAGACACACGACGTCCTGCACGTCACCATGGAAATGGAGCCCTGAACACCGTCTGTCAGGCAGGAGGAGAGAGTTTGACACCAGGTGACAGGAGTTAATCACGGGCAAGCCGAAGGAACAGGAAAGCATTAAGAGGCTATTTGTGCCCAAAGCAGCAATTTCCAGCTTCTCTGGACCAGCCAGGTGCTGTCAAGCCTCAGAATCTCCCTTCCACACCCAAACCACCTCCAACGAGCAGCCAAGAGTCATCACTACCTGTGATGCAGACCACTACCTCTGAAGCAGACCAGCTTCAGATGCTGGATTTAAGGCTGGGAAACCAGTGGTCTCCTTCCCAGACCATGGGGAGAAGAGGACATGGTCCGGAATAAACTCCCTGAAATGAGCCTGACGGACGTGACAGCCCTGGGGAACCACCAGCTTCAGATCACAGAATCACAGAATCTTCTAGGTTGGAAGGGACCTTAAAGATCATCTTGTCCAACCGTCAACCTAACTGACAAAAATAGACACCCACACAACAAACAAGGAGCATCATCACTAAACCAGACCTCCCAGCACTACATCAACCCGGCTTTTGAACACCTCCAGGAATGGGGCCTCCACCACCTCCCTGGGCAGCCCATTCCAATGGCTGAGAACCCTTTCAGTGAAAAAATTTTTCCTAATATCCAGCCTGAACCTCCCCTGGGGCAACTTGAGGCCATTTCCTCTTGTCCTGTCACCTGCGACTTGAGAAAAGAGACCGACCCCCACCTCTCTACACCCTCCTTTCAGGGAGTTGTCAAACCCTTCCCCCTCCTCCTAGGGCTCCCCTCCCTCATCAAGAGTCCCTCCCCAGCTTTCCTGGAGCACCCCCTTTTAGGCTCTGGAAGGGGCTTGAAGTTCTCCCCGGAGCCTTCTCTTCTCCAGGCTGAACCCCCCCCAGAACCCCAGACCTCCCTAACAATTAGATACTCCCCTTGTCCCACACAGAGATCTTTGCTCACTCCAGCCTCCAGAACTCAAATTGTTTTATAATCCTAAATGCCCCATTGCCTGACAGATCCCTCTGCATCTGTAAAGCTTTTACATGACCCTTCAGATCTGCTCTGTGCTTTACACACAGCTCTTTCCTCAGGCCTGTGCAAAGCAACATGCACGCCCCATCAATAATTTCACTAATCATCACTCATTTAGCAAGTGTTCCTGCAGGCCATCTTGAGGCCTCATTGAGGTTTTTTCCAGGAAAAAGCAGCACTTCTTTACAATTTTGCCTATTTCACGATGACAGCTGTGGAATATACAAATCTGTACTCCAGCAAATAGTACAAGCTAAACCTTCCCCTTGGCACTTCTGGCCTTCGACATAAACGTCAACCAAACTGAGTCACCCAGTGTGTGGCCTCCAAATTGTCTGCCTTAGCAGTGGAAATCATCAAAGAGATGGAAAAAAGCTCTTTGCCCTGGTGCTTTGCTTGCCTGGAACTCTCCTGAGAGGACCCTGCGGGTGTAGATGTTACTGGTGTAGGGCTCGATGGATTCGTTGTTGCCCAAGATCTGGGCGGTAGAAGCTGTTGGCATGGGAGAGAGGAGCAGGCTGTTTCTGACACCGTACCTAGGAACGAGAGTCAAGAGTTGGAAAGCTTCAACTGAGGGAGACAAGGGAGAGAAAACCCAAAATAAGAACAAGAGTCAAGAGTTGGAAAGCTTCAACTGAAGGAGACAAGGGAGAGAAAACCCAAAATAAGAACAGGAGTCAAGAGTTGGAAAGCTTCAACTGAAGGAGACAAGGGAGAGAAAACCCAAAATAACACAATTTACAGGTGTGTAAGAGGGCCAGTGAATCAGCTCATGCTCAGAAATGCCTCCTCAGGGCAACCTGCAAACCCTGCAGAAAAAGGGAAGCTCCAAAAAACTTGTAACGTGGGTAAACGTGGAAGCGTAACTAAAGTCTTTGCTATTTTCACCTTTAATAAGGGAGTTTCCCAAATTATTTAGTCATGAGAAAGGGTATATATAAAAAAAAAATGTCAGGGGCTCCACAGCGCTCAGGGAAAACCAGAACAAGCAGCCCATGAAGAGCCTGAAACTTCTCCACACACGAGACAGCAGAAAGATTGACTGTATTTAAATATTGCAGAAATTCATTACAGGCACTTCACGCTTTAACGATTCCCGTCTTCAGGGTGTTCAAGGCTCAGCTGCTGTTCCCTGTCCCTGGGGAAGGAGTTCCTGAGCCTGGCTGACTCCATCTCACTCATCACTACATTTATTTAACTGGAACAGCCCTTTCTGCTGATGCATCCCAGGTGAAATAAGAGCTCGGCTAAATCCGAGTCACAGGGATGGGCTCCCTCTGGCTTGTTAAGAGCAAAAATGACAGAAAACCATCCACAAACCAGTTCTGAAGAAAGATCTACCGGGGCAGGAGGGGGAAAACACACGGGACCATTTTTACACTTGTGTCTTACCCTTTGGTTTTAGTCAGTTGGAAGAAATTAAACATATTTTATACCTGATACAAGCTGTGCAGGACCACTCACCTCGCAATCTTCTCCTTTAAAGCCTTCCAGTCCCAGAGGTCAGAGGGGGTGACATTCCACATGTCGTACTGAAGAATCTGAAGGACAGGAGGGTGCAGCCCAAATTAGGCAGGGTGCTCTCTGCTCCAGCTTTTACAAACCACATGGTAAATTGAGCTGTTGTTCCTATTAACTGTTCTCTGCAATTCAGCCTCAGCAAAGCTCTTCTTACAAACACTCCATCTTTTAACTGCGCTAACGGAGTCGGCCAGCACAGGTTGAGTCTTGCTTTTTCTTTTATTGCTCTGCACCTAAGTTTAACTTCTGCATTTCCTACTGCACTTACGAAGCCAAATTGATGGAGAAAAACTCAAGCAGCACTCGTACTGCTGCTATATTATCAGCCTAAGGTGTTTCAGTCATAAATCTTCTGTATCAAAGACCAGGCAGGGTCACGTGATCTGTTTTTCACAGCTTTAGCCCCAAAACAGGCCAGTTACAGAATCACAGAATCTTAGTGGTTGGAAGGGACCTCCGAGATCATCAAGTCCAACCCCCCCCCCAAAAAAAAAAACAAAACCAAAAAAACCAAACAAACAAAAACAAAAAAACCACCACACCACACCAATCGCCCACCAAAAACACCGCACCCACCAACTAAACCCCACACTCAACACCTCACCATAAACCAATAACCTTGGGCACTAGAGCAGGCCCTGAAGAGCCATGTCTACACGTTTCTTAAATCCCTCCAGGGATGGTGACTCCACCACCTCCCTGGGCAGGCTGTTCCAGTGCCTGACCACCCTCTCAGTAAAGTAATTCTTCCTAATATCTAATCTAAACCTCCCCTGCCCCAACTTCAGACCATTTCCTCTGCTCCTGGCATTATTCCCTTGGGAGAAGAGGCCAACCCCCACCTCTCTACACCCTCCTTTCAGGTAGTTGTAGAGGGCAATGAGGTCTCCCCTCAGCCTCCTCTTCTCCAAACTAAACATGCCCAGTTCCCTCAGCCTCTCCTCATAGGACTTGTTCTCCAGACCCCTCACCAGCTTGGTGGCTCTCCTCTGGACACGCTCCAGCACTTCAATGTCTTTCCTGTAGTGAGGGGCCCAAAACTGAACACAGCCCTCAAGGTGAGGCCTCACCAGTGCCCAGTACAGGGGCACGATGACTTCCCTACTCCTGCTGGCCACACTATTCCTGATACAAGCCAGGATGCCATTGGCCCTCTTGGCCACCTGGGCACACTGCTGGCTCATGTTCAGCCTGCTGTCCACCAACACCCCCAGGTCCTTTTCTGCTGGGCAGCTCCAGCCACTCTGCCCCCAGTCTGTAGCGTTGCCTGGGGTTGTTGTGACCCAAATGCAGGACCCAGCACTTGGCCTTATGAAACCTCATCCCGTTGTCCTTGGCCCATTGATCCAGTCTGTCCAGATCCCTCTGTAGAGCCTTCCTACCCTCAGGCAGATCAACACTCCCACGTAGTTTGGTGTCATCTGCAAACTTACTGAGGGTGCATTCGATCCCCTTGTCCAGATCATCAATAAAGATATTGAACAAGACTGGCCCCAGAACTGAGCCCTGAGGGACACCACTGGTGACCAGCCACCAACCAGATCTAGCTCCATTAATCACAAATCACACTTCCTGGTACTTACTCCTTTGCTCACAGGGGAACCCTCGTAGGTTTCGTACGGCCCCTGCTCTTTGGCAAGTTCACAGCTGGCTTCCAGAGCCCCGTAATAAATGGTCTCGAAAATCTGCTGGTTCAAGCGCTGGGCCTCGGGGCTCTCGAAGGGGTAACGCATCAGGATGAAGGCATCTGCCAGGCCCTGCACCCCGATGCCGATGGGACGGTGGCGTCTGTTGGAGCGCTCAGCCTGGGGGCGTCGAAACACAGAGAATAACTGCTTTTAGCAGAACTATGGAGAATCATAGAATCATAGAGTTGTCCAGGCCGGAAGGGACCTCCAAAGGCCATCTAGTCCCACCCCCCCGCAGTCAGCAGGGACACCCCCAACTAGACCAGGTTGCCCAGGGCCTCATCGAGCCTCTCCTTGAATATCTCCAGGGATGGGGCCTCAACCACCTCCCTGGGCAACCTGTTCCAGTGCTCCACCACCCTCACAGTGAAGAACCCTCTCCTCATCTCCAGTCTAAAGCTGTTCCCCTCCAGCTTGAAGCCATTGCCCCTCGTCCTGTCACTGCAGGCCTTTCTAAACAGGCTCTCCCCAGCCTTCCTGTGGCTCCCTTCAGGTACTGGAAGGCTGCTATTAGGTCTCCCTGGAGCCTCCTCTTCTCCAGGCTGAACAACCCCAGCTCCCTCAGCCTGTCCTCGGAGCAGAGGTGCTCCATCCCCCTCATCATCCTCGTGGCCCTCCTCTGGGCCCTCTCCATCAGGTCCATGTCCTTCTTCTATTGAGGGCTCCAGACCTGCACACAACACTCCAGGTGAGGTCTCACCAGAGCAGAGTAAAGTGGCAGAATCCCCTCTCTGGACCTGCTGGCAACGCAGCTTTTGATGCAGCCCAGGATGGGATTGGCCTTCTGGGCTGCAGCTGCCCACTGCCATGCTCCAGAGAACTGTCTGGAATTTCCACCCTTACCCAGGCCTTGGCTTTTATGGGCCATCCATTCTGCTGCCACAACCCACCTCCCGATTCTGCCCAGTTCTCCACTCTTTAGTCTTTGGTGGGGGAGGAATTTGAGGACTCACGTGAAGTTTGTTAGAAGCCATCACTGATTTTAATTGCTCCAACTGACACACAGAGGGAGCCATGGTTCATAAGTTAACACTAAGCACTTTCTGAAAAAAAAAAACCCCAAACAGGCCCATGAAGACATTTAAAATGCATTTAAATCGGACCTGCCAGAAAAATCTGACCCTCAGCAGGTTTGGCTTCACCCTCTGGGTATTTGCTTATTTCCTTCTCCAAAGGCCAGCTCTGCTCCTCACCTTTCTGTGTTCTTGCAACCAACAAATGCTGCTCCCATTTCTCTTCAACAATTACCAACCCCATCCCCACTTCCCTTCCAGAAAGTGTCCGTGCACCCTCCCAAAAGAACATAAAACCAACAGCTCAAGACTGAGTTAAACCTTCTCAGGATCTTTCCAGGATCCTTCTCTCTGTTCCACCCTCACAGAATCACAGAATGATCTGGGGTTGGCAGGGACCTCTGGAGATCCCCCAGTCCAACCCCCTGCCAGAGCAGGGCCACCCAGAGCAGGTCCCACAGGAACGTGTCCAGGTGGGGTTTGAATGTCTCCAGAGAAGGAGACTCCACCACCTCCCTGGGCAGCCTCTGCCAGGGCTCTGCCACCCTCACAGCAAAGAAGTTCCTCCTCATGTTGAGAAGGAACTTCTATGTTCCAGTTTGTGCCCATTTCCTCTTGTCCTGTCCCTGGGCACCACTGAAAAAAGACCATCCCTGTCCTGACACTCACCCTTGAAGTATTTATAGGTGTTGATCAGATTCCCCCTCAGCCTTCTCTTTTCCAGACTAAACAGCCCAAAGTCCCTCACCCTCTCCTCATGAGAGAGATGCTCCAGTCCCTCACCATCTTTGTAGCCCTTTGCTGTCCCCTCTCCAGCAGTTCCCTGTCCTTCTGGAACTGGGGGGCCCAGAACTGGTCCCAGTGCTCCAGCTGGGGCCTCCCCAGGGCAGAGCTCTCCACCTGCTGGTCACACTCTTCCTGATGCCCCCCAGGAGACCATTGGCCTCCTTGGCCACCAGGGCACATTGATGGCTCATGGTCATCCTGTTGCCCACCAGGACTCCCAGGTCTTTCTCCTCAGAGCTGCTCTCCAACAGGTCCCCCCCAACCTGTCCTGGTCCATGGGGTTATTCCCCCCCAGGTGCATGACCCTGCACTTGCCCTTGTTGAATTTCATCAAGTTCCTCTGCCCAACACTCTGCTCCTAGGGCTGTTCTGTGCTTTATGGAAATCCACACATGCGAAAAAATTCCAACTGCAGAATCATCTCACAGGGAGGCTTTTTCCACAACTGCTTCACTAAGAAACTGTTCTGGGTTGGAGTTTAAGAAGCCACTAAGAAGGGGTCACATCTGCAAACAGGTAGTTAATCACAGAATCACAGAATCTTCTAGGTTGGAAGGGACCTTAAAGATCATCTTGTCCAACCGTCAACCCAACTGACAAAAATAGACACCCACACAACAAACAAGAAGCATAAAAAACCACTATTTCAGTCCCAGAGCATGATCCCTGCCCAAACTACATGGACACAAAGAAGCAAACAGCATACAAGGCTGGAAAAACACACTCCTCATTTCTCTGCTTTCTTGAGTTGCAAAAACGGTAACAATAATTCAAAATCTTTAGCAGATATCAGTATCTATATATTAATTCAATTCTCTGGCCTGGTCAACCCTGTTGCCCATAAGCCATCCTTCCAGAAACTAAACCCAACCTTTTCCTGT